GGAGCCATGATCGGCGCAAGCAAACATGAGCAAAGACATGATTGAAATGGACAAAACAAACATGCCAACCATTAACATAAACCCTGACCCTTCAAATATAAAACCTCCCTCACTTGCCCCATAATTCCCAATATTACTTAAAACTCTAGTCATCTTATAATTTATATGTTATTACGGACAAAATATATATTTTGAGAGGATATGAAAATATGTGCATAGGGGTGTGAACGAGCCGAGCTCGCCTCTTTTGGCTGGCTCGAGCTCGAGCTCGAGTTTATTTTGTCGAGCTCGAGCTCGTCGAGTTCTTCTTCTTTTGGCTCGAGCTCGAGCTCGTGTTAATTTTGTCGAGCTCGAGCACAATCTCTTTTTTTTTTTTTTTAAATATTTTTTAATTATTATTTTATTATTAAAAAAAATACAAAATAAAAACTAAATTGTGATTATATATTTTTTTAATATTTGTATTTATTTATATAATATTTTATATTATAATACATTATTTAAATAAAAATAACAGATAAAAATAAAAAAAATAAAAAATTATAATAAATCCGGCTCGCGAGCCGGCTCGCGAGCTGATGAACAACTAAAATCCGGCTCGAGCTCGGCTCGTCAGAAAACTCGAGCTCAAGCTCGAAAACCTCGAGTCCGAGTTCGAGCTTTTTACGAGCCGGCTCGTCGAGCTCACGAATCGGCTCGGCTCGGCTCGTTTACCACCCCTATATGTGCACCAAGGGGTATGTATATATACACACACATAATATAATTGAATGAGTATTATAATTATTTTTTTTTTTTGATAACTTCCATTGACCATTAGTTATATGATTATTCATGTCTGGAAATTTCTGTGTACATTATTTCCTAATTTTATGATAGTTGACCTACTTTTTAGTTAATATATGGAGATAATAATCTTGATAAATAAATAATTATACTAATTAGCCGGTTGAAATTTAAGTACTTGGAAGATTATATCGTAGAGAGTAGAGCTAGCTAATTACTGTATAGCACGGACACGGAAACGACGATAAGGAGAAACTGGGAAACAGACACCAGGAAACGACATGCCCCAGAAATGTGAAACGTATAAATATTAAAAGTATAGGGGTATATTTATAAATATTCTATATAAACCTATATAAGTTTTTTATTTATATGTAAATTCTTTTTTATATATTTCAATACAAATATATCAAAAATAAATATTATTATCAACTATCATTTTGCAATTGATCATTAATTAAATCATCAAATTAATTAGGGAAGCAACAAATTTTTTTGGAAGTTTGATATTCATACATGTTTCTAACTTTGTAGAAAATTGCAAAGTAACCCATAAATTGTTCGACAGGTGTCCTCGAGTGCTAGATGAAACATGTCCGAAATACTGAAACCTTAAGAAGTTGAAGTTTCCATATTACATAGCTAATTTATGTACTCACAAAAAGTATTAGTAGTTATCTTCTATTTACGTACTTAATTTTTAGAGTAAGAAGCAATTTTTTTATTATATTCAAGGGAAAATTTGTCAACAAACCCCTTAGGAGAGAGGTGGTGGTACGATAGGCCCAAAAAGATATCCAGATTTGAAGTAAAATTCAAAACGTATTGAACTAATAAAAATATATTAGGATTCATTATTATACCCTTAATTCAATTTAACACATCTTATGATTGAAAATATGTAATTATGTAATATTTTTTTCATAATTAATAGATCACATAATTATATTTCCTATGACGTAAGACCACAAATCTCTCTCCTTAATTGTAGACATATCGTTTTGTGAAGGTAGGAAATTTAATTTCAGAAAAAGGGTCCCAAGAATTGAGTTAAGAATAGCAAGGTTGGGGTTCAGATTCTACAGGGTGGTTTTCACAACCCTTGATTGTATTTGCGATTGTATGTAACATATTTCATGTATTTGATAACTCATTTACTTGGTATAAGAACATGTTTTTTATTGTTGCAGGATTTGCAGCATTTTTTCCTTTAAACGTGTTCTTATATAGAGTGGTTTTCAAAACTCTTTGATTATATTGTTTGTATGTCTTGTATAGTGTGGTTTTCGCAACTCTTTGTTCAGAGTGGTTATATACAGAGTGGTTTTCCCAATTCTTTGTACAGAGTGATTTTGGCAACTCTTTTCACAATTCTTGTAAAATACTTGTAATATTCAAATAATCGGGTTAAATCAAAAAACACAAGGTCGTAATCACTCACTTTTTTATGTCGATTTTTTAACCATTTTGCAGTGATACTAATCAAGAAAAAATGATTTCGTGAATTAAAAAAATGTGGTTTTAGCTTAAAATCATTGTCTTCCCTAAGAACAATATCCATTGTTGGATGGGCTTTATAAGCGGTGCGCAGACGATAATGTTGGAGTGTATTTCAGACGTGATTTGGGGTAAAATTATGAGGAGGATTTTTCGGTGGTGTGATCTGGGAGGGATTTGTATATATCGACCGAATTTTTAATTTTAAGTTAATAGAAAACTAATTAGTTGGGGCATATAGGATATTTTGGATTGACTTGATTTATGGCGAATATCAACTCGTAAAATTAGATTTATTAAGAAGTTAAAATGCAATGGGGGTTGTTTATCGAATTGCCCATCCTATATTCAAAGTGTAAATTATGAAAATATGACATTTTGAAAGGATTAAAAAGCAATCAAAAGAGAAAATTATACCTCAGGCGTTAAATTATGAAATGATAAATACAGAGATTTTTAGTAAACGCGTGATATTTTTACAATTTGAACTTTTATTTCCAGCCAATCAACTGTTAATTATAGGGTAAATTACGGTCATTCCTTGAGGTAAGGTCTTTTACGAAAATCCCTCTCATGTTTGGATCACCCTCCTTAACTATGAATATTCTTACACGTTCAAATTTAGTGGAATCTTCTATATCATGTTGAATATTCTTCAGTTTGTAGTCTGTACCCGTTTTATTCCATTCGAACTACATATCTTGAAACAAGATGATCATAAGATGTGCCTCTTGGCTTGTAAATATCATATTGTGGTGCATCAGAGACTGCATTTTTTAATGTGTAAAAAGATGGACAAATGTATATGAGAGCATCCATCGTACGATGTATCATGGCACGATTCAGTGCATGTGGATCGTGGAGCCGTACATGCCTGGTCGTATTTTGCGACTGTTCGGGTGGATTCAGACCATCGCGTGTGGTTTGATCTCATCGATTGATCCATATTGTCGTGGTTCGAGGAGTAATACGTCATACAAGGTCATATACCCGGCATCGGGTGGTATGTGGGACGGGACATGCTCGATGATCATTCCATGTGGTTTTGACGTTTTTAGACTGCACGCATTCGAGTGTTGTCAACTAGATATATGGATTGGTGCCACCCACGGACGCATGTGAAGATCGGCAATCGGATCTAAGTCCGGTTGTAGCGCATCATGGGGTGAGGCCACCAAACCAGCTATTCTATTACCATGTAATGCGTGCCTTGAATCCAGTTGCCACTAGCATTGGACTATATTGGGTGTAGTAGTTTGCACATATGCATGCCGATCGACCTTGTCGAGATTATGCGCCCCGCCGCTTGATATATCGACATCGACCGTGATGACGACGACGGCGGTGAGGATGATGTCGGTGATAGTGATTGCGTTGACTTTTTTTTTTTTCCTTTTCACCATTGGATGGGTGAATATATTTACAAGACAAGACAAAAAAAAAAAAAACAGATATTCCCTTATTTAATTAAGTTATCTTGTCATTCATTTTTTTGCAATTTTGCATTAATTATATCATGAAATATATACGCGGTTTTTTTTCGACAAACTAATAATGATAATCTTAAGACTCAAGCTCATGACAAAATAATTTTGGCGGATCAACCCGGAAAATAATAGAACTAACCAAACATCAAACTAAACCTTACTATTTAGATAATCTTGACTAATCTCCCCAACCAAACGAGACCTAAGAGTTATGATTATAGTATAAACGGGATCTAAAACACAAATAATCATGATTTCGCAACATATTCCAACAATAACATCAAATAAATTAAATAAGACATACAATCATGCTAATAACACAAAATCATATGCTAAAACAATAAATCATCATGGTTTCATAATATATTCAAACAATAAATATTAAATAAGTTAAACATTACCTTGACAAAAATAACGATTGCTATAATACCGAAAATCCAAATGCTTTTGTCCAAAATCCAAAATTCAACCTACAAAAATAAAATCAAAAAAAAGTAAAACGATACCGAAATTACACCCTAATTTTGAAAAACAAAAAAACCACCACTAATTTAAAAAAAAAATGTTAAAAAATGCAGTCCTAATTTCAAAAAAATAACACCTTTAATTCCAAAATTACATCCGAACTCCGAAATTCAAAATACTTGCTAAGAAACTTTGAGAAAAATCGAAATATGTATATTGAAATTTTCAACAAAATTCGAAAATTTCCCAAACCCTAATTTATCAACAAAATTTGAAATATTTCTAACGAATTCGAATATTTTTTACCAACACCAATTTAGATTTTTTTTAAGAGCATTAGAAATAATTTTTGAAAAATAAATTTGAGGCCTGTTTTTTTGGAGAAATTTCTGGCCTCGCCACTGTCCAAGGAGTGATACGTCATACAAGGTCATATACCCGGCATAGGGTGGTATGTGGGACATGCTCAACGACCATTCATTGTGGTTTCGACGTTTTAAGACGGCACGACATCCGAGTGTTGTCAACTAGATATATGGATTGGTGCCGCCCACAAACGCATGTGAAGATCGGCAATCGGATCTAAGTCCGGTTGTCGCGCATCATGGGGTGAGGCCACCAAACCAGCAACACTACAAAAAAATGTACTTTTTGTGACAATTTATTGTGACGAAAGTAGAATTCGTCACATCAATAACAAGTTTATATGACGAAATCAGATGTCGTCTCATTAAGTAATGTTTTATGAGACAAAAATTTTTTCGTCACATTAAGTTCGTCTTATGTGACAACATTATAAATTCGTCTTGAAAAGAAATGTCTGACTCATTCCAACGATTGGTGCACCCGTTTTAGTGATAACATTTAACTGTTTTATGACAAAGTAATTTCGTCACATTCATTTTTTATTGTGACAACATTACTTTTGTCACAAAACCAAATAATTTATAATTAAATATAAATTTAATTATAAATCTTATACAATTAAATCTTTTGTCATTTAGCAATTCAATCTATTATTTTGCATCCGTCTCTTGTTATTTTTCTCTCACCATTTTCCTTCCACTCCCTCTCTCGTTTCGTTTGTCGCCTCCGCCACCACCGCCAGCGTTTCGCCTGTCGCCTCCGCCACCACCGCCAGCCTTCCGCCGCCTCCGCCACCACTAGCCTCTCAATCGATTCAAGTTAGGTAATTTTGTTGTTCTCAATCTCTAACTCTAGCCTCTTTACCTCTGCTCATCTGTCATTTTTTTCTCCCCCAATCTGCAACCGAATGTTAGGATTTTGGTTAGAAGTGCGTAAACTGGAGTTTTTGAGCCTCTACATCTACACCACTGTTATTTTCCTTCTCTCTAATTCTGAAATCTAATGTTAAGGTTTTGGCTAAAAGTCCGTAAACTGATTTTTTTTCCTCAAAATTAAATTAAGGATATCTAATTAAATTCTCAAAATTCATTGAAGAATTCTTCGGTGTTTGAATCTAAATTAGGTTTTCTGAATCAGAATTATGGAGTTTTCTGGTATGGTGCTTCAATGGAAGTGTAATAATGAAGCCCTAAAGGAAGAAATGAAGAGTGAAACGAGCATAGATAAAAATTTAAGTGCATAGATGGAATCCCCCTGCTCTTGTTTACTATTAATTAATTCTCTTTAGCCCAAATACTTTTGTGTTCTCCTTTGTTGGTTCATCTGCTTCGCTGATGTCCGTTGAAATCGGCATTGGCTTTACTGACTGTCTCTAAGTTATTGTATGAATATACTTATGGTTTACTTATATGAACTTTTGGTTTGTTTGATTGACTAATTAAGATGAACCGAGGATTAAAAAGCGCAAAAGCAAGGAAGATGACGAAAAACACAAATCTAACAAAAATTTCCAAGCGCCAATAAGAAAGGTATTTTCCAATACCTGAATTCCATTTAAATTGGGGTTAATATGATATTTGTTAAAACCTTGGCATGCAAAAAAGACCTCTTCAGCTAAATAATGGTAAATGAACCAACGGTACGAAGCTAAAGAAGAAACAACAGAGGGGGTAGGCTAAAGAAGAAAGAACAGAGGGGGTAGGCGAAATGTTAACCGTTAATACACGCGCCTGTTTCTCTTATTCAAATTCCAAGGTAATGATTTTTCATTTGCAGTCTGTTTAATTTCGATTTGGTTTTCTTCTTTGATGTCGATAATTTGATAGAGATTGGGCAATTTCTATCCCTAATTTCTCTCTTAAGATGGGATTCACTACACACCAGCTTCTGCAAAGGTACTCTCTTTCAGACTTTGAATGTAAGAAAATTGATTGTTGTCTGTTAGATGAGTCGAGTCGAAATCGATGTAAATATCGAGTCGTTTTTTCCGTAACTAATGTTGATTGTTAACTTCAACTGTGAAAATATGTGATATCTCCGCATAGATTAGTTACCGATGCTTTCTCTAATGCTGGAGTACTGCAAATGCAGGTGTATGGGTTGTCGTCGTATCAGGTGCAAAAACGAGCGACGATTATGCAATTAATTGCTAGATAATATTCTATGTTCTTTTTGGAACTAATGACTCCTTTGGATTGTGTTGTTACACCAGGTGTCGATGGCGTCGAAGTTTCTTCTTCTTCTTTGGTTGAAGAGTTCAGTTTTACAGCCACATCTTCTGACAAAGACGACGAACTAAAGGTGGTGAATACTCTAATAGTTTTCTCATTATGTTGATAGTTTGTAATGACTTCTTTCTTTTCGGGTTTTTTTTTTCTTTTTTTTTTTCATGGTTCCTTTGCAGATCACTGTAGAGGTTTCTGGAACAAAAACGCAAGAAATATATGATAAAGTTTTTGCCAAAATGTAGAAATAATTTTTTTTTTCGTTTTCCTAATGTAGAATATACCTTCTTGCAGATACTGAAAGAGATTCCTTTGGAAATTCTAGGCCCGTCGAAAGTGTTCCACCAAGTTATTAAGAAAGTGATAAGCATTGCAATTGCTAAATATGTAGCTAAGGTATATATGCTGCTGCCTTTACTCGACTGCATATTCATCGAATGGGGTTATTTTATATAATTATAATTTTCTTGAAATTGCAGGAAGGTTTGAAAGTTGGTAAAGATTTACAAATCTTTAAATGGAATTCAGGTCTTGGATTGTTGTAAAGTTTCCGACTTGTTTGGTAATTTTAAACAGAAGAAGACTTAGTCTATATTAGCTTGGGCATTCAACGTGGATTTGTATTTGTTCTAAATTATCTCACATTTTGCTTAGGAAAATTAGTAACTGTGCTAATAAGTTTTCTTTTGGATTGGGATATTCGGCTCCATATTAAATTATTTTTCATTTCCATTACTTGTTATGGTGGCCTTGAAATTTTAACCAATTCGAATTTCTTGCTTCAGATAACAAGTTGAGTGGGAAACGTAAAGACAAAAGTTGAAGCATGATAATTCTTCAATTGTGAGTTTCTTGCTAAACTCTATATGCCTCGAAAAGTGTTTGTGCATGTCAGCGGGTGATGAATTGATTATAATTCAATCTGAATCGCCTGTGTAACACCAAAATTCATAACTAACACAAAATTTTAGATAATAGTTTTAATTAATGTCATCTCTGGTTCTCTTTGCAGAAAGAACAACACTGTGGGATTTCTCCTCTGCTACAAAATCAAAATCACTTATGGTGGTATTGTAGGGGCATGCACCTTGGTCCCTTTCTAAGATTTAACTTACTATGCATAAAGTTAGTGTGTAAGTATAGTTGTCTAATTATTGATTTTCCCTTTGCAGAATAACAAGCAAGGAATGAGCCTTTAGCGGGATGGATTGAGTAGAACCAATCACTTTCTTACTCAAGGTTTCTCTTCATTGTACGGTTTGTATGGATTTCAGATTTCTTAATACTTTTCGTATTCATTATACAATATACTAATTATTGATCAATATGATAAAGTTGCTATACGAGTATCTTTGGTTGTGTAGACTGTATCTTTATTACTGCAGCTTGATTCCGTTTAAGTTCATATTGCTTGAAAGGAAAAGTTTCCATGCAAAGGTGCATCTTTGTCTTCAGGTATTAGTACTACAACTTGATTGCTTTAAGTTCATGTTAGTATTTGCATATTCCGCTCAATAATTTTCATGGTGAAAAGTTAGAATTCATTAAATTTCAGAACCCTCTAAGTTACTTGTTCAGTTATTTAACGTCACAAATCTTTAATTTTCAGGTTATTAAAGAATTAAGAAGTTAGACAATTTTTCGAGAACTCCCTTTTCATCATTTGAAGCAATGGTTGGAAATAGAATTGCTACATTTTACTTATCCATTGAAGTACAAAGAAGATTGTGAGGAGGAATGATATCGCTCCACTAAAGGAAGGACGGTGTATTTATATATTATGTAGTTTATATTTTAATATAAGTTTCAATTTAATTTGTATGTGAAATGGTACGATATATTGCAATACAATTTTATTTTCGAAGTCGTTGTTTAGGTTTTTGGAATTGCATTATTAGTTTCTTTAATTTAAATGGTAATAATATGAATAATATAAATAGTATATAACAAATTATATATTTATAATAAAATTTTGAAAAATAACTTTTTGTGACGAAATAATTGTCTCAGTAGATATTGTGTCTTCTGCGACTAAATAATTTGTCACAAGAAGTAAGTGAACAGTTTACTTCTTGTGACGACAACTGCTTTAGTGACGAACATATTTGGTTTATGCGACGAACACTTCGTCGCAACAATACAACTTTCAGCGACGAAATTTACTTTTGTCACAATATTTGGTGACGAAAACTTCTGTTTGTCACATAACACCTTTCGCGACGGGGCCTACGCGACGACCCCTGTGACGAAATATATTGTCACCTAATTTTTTTTGCGACAATATTTTGAGTTTTTGCGACGAATTCTTGCGTCACATAAAACAGTTTTTTTTGTAGTGCAATACTATTACCATGTAATGTGTGCGTTTGATCCAGTTGCTACTAGCATTGGACTAGACTGGGTGCAGCAGCTAGCAGATATACGTGCCAACCTTGTCGAGATTTTACGCCCTGCCGCTTGATATATCGACATCGACCGTGATGACAACGACGACGAGGATGATGGCGGTGATAGTGATAGCGTTGACTTTAGCTCTGTTCTTTTTTTTCGCCGTTAGATGGATGAATATATTTACATGACAAGAAAAAAAAAAGATATTTCCATTATTATTAATTAAGTTATCTTGTCATTTATTTATTTTTTACAATTTTTCATTAACTAAGTAAGTGACACGTGCATTGCACGTGGTTTATGATTTTTGTTAATTATTTATATATTTATTAATAATTTACTTCATTAAAATTAAGCTATATTACAAATAAATATTTAATAAATTAGTGATATGATTTAGTATTATGTTAATGTAAATTTCCGATCATTTTGATTTTGCTTGATCTTGATGTAGCAGAGTGCATAACAAAATCTTCAAATTCATTACTAAAAAACTTTTAAAGATCACTGTAACAATTATCATTATTCTTCTTGTTTCATCTCCATTTTTGGTGACCTTTTTTTCTCGAATTCTAGCATCATCATTAATTTAATCAAGTTGTAATATTTACTGGAAAATATTTTCTTATACGATTATTTTTTTATTATATATATTTTTTCTTCAACACATCTCTAAAGACTGTATTAGAAATAGAATCACTTGAGAAAATATAATTATAATTAAATTATTGAGAAAATTAGAAACCGTCATAAAAACATCATATAGATCGACACGACAAAATGATAATATATCACCATTTTTCGTATATACAAGCAGTGATATCTTCTTAAGAAAAAAATAGAACTTTATTTTATATAAAATATTATTATAAACTTTTGTAGTATTTTATGAATTGCGGTATAAAGAAAATATCAAAAATAATTCATAAATTTATGCAACCATTGAAACTCCTTAAATTAAAATAAAATTATGCATTATAAGTGGGTATTTTTAATTTTTAGGGGCAAATAGACTAAAATATATAAATAACAATAAAAAACTAATGAAAAAAAATCAATTTTTATTTTATTTTTCTGGAGGGGCAGCTACCCCCTTGGGGTGCCTTAGTTACGCCCTGCTTTCATCTACCATAAACAATAAAAGAATTACTTTTAAATTTCATGTTTTAATTTAATAAATAAATTTATTGAGGGCAAATTTCACTTTCTCACTTCGTCCTCTGACTTCGAATCACTTTATCTCCTCGTACTCTCAATTGCATCGATTTACCCAGTGCACTTGTACAATTGTCCCAATGTAACCCTCTCAGCCAATTTTCAGGATTTGACCTTGAAGCCATTAGTCAAGGTCTGAAAATTACAGGAATCATGAATTATGTGTTCAAGTTTTTTTTGTTTTCAGTCTCAATTCTAAACTTTTTGCCTTTAGTTCCTCGTTTGCAAGTGAAAATTGCTCAACCATTTGCTGAAGCTCTTCGTTTTTTTCTTAAGCTCTAGCATCCTTTTGTTAATAATACAACCACAACCTCGAGCTTAGTCAAACAAAGGAGGATCGACCCATTAGAAAAAAAGCACATTAATTCACTGGATAATTGCAGGACGTGCATATTCTCTGTGAAAGCATAGTACACCTTAAAAAACTTACCATAACAATTGACTCTATTTTCATTAAAATTAGTGGGTGAGTTTCCGCTACTTCAGCTTCTTCTCATGTTACTTGAGCCCATACTTTCTAATTGCGGTGAACTGTTTTCAGCCATATCTTTGTTGTGGAAGAAAACAACCAAAAATCACGAAAAAGACTGCTGGGTTTTTTTTTTCTAGCGAAAGTGATTTGGGAATTTAATGGAAGAGGAGAGTGGAAAAACGATGCAAACTATTTAACCAGGTGAGTGGGCGTTTCTTTAATATTTAAGACCTTGCCCAAACAGCCTCAATGTCAAAATCATGAAAATTGACGGGGAAGGTTGGGGCTAGGGGTGGTAAACAAGTCGAGCCAGCTCGCGAACTCGACGAGCCGGCTCGAAAAAAGCTCGATCTCGAGCTTGGATTTTTCGAGCTCGAGCCCAAAATTAGTTGTTCGGCAGCTCGCGAGCTGCCTTTTTTTTTTTTTTTTACATATTTATATTTATATACATATTATTATTATTATTATTATTATTATTATTATTATTATTATTATTATTATTATTATTATTATTATTATTATTATTATTATTATTATTATTATTATTATTAACTAAATAGTAAATAGTCTATAGTAATAAATATATCTAGTATTTAAATAGAAATAAATCTATATTACTTAAATAATTCATAATAATAATATAAAATATTATAATAATAATAATAGAAAAAATAAAAAATATATATAACTAGAATTCATTTTTATTTTATAATTTTTTTACTTTCCTATGAATAATTTTTAATAAAAAATAAAATGATTTTAATAAAAAAATTAAATAATAATAATAAAAAAAATTAAATAAGCCTGAGCTCGAACTCGAGCTTGGCAACATGGACTCGAGCTCGAGCTCGAGCTGGCCAAAAGAGCCGAGCTCGGCTCGTTCCCACCCCTACCTGGGGCAATTGTACCAGTGTCGGGGAGGGTGGGGTTAAATCGACGCAATCAAGAATATGAGGGGGTAAAGTGATTCGAGGTTAGAGTAAAGGGGGAAATGAATTTACCTATCATATATGTTTTATCCTCGGTTATATAATGATATTAATAAAATTAAAAATATTTCGCAACTTAATTATTTTGAATCTAAACAATAACATTACATGTATCACATCCTTCAATGTTTAATCA